TCCCGTATTTAAAACTACAAGTCCTGTTATGATGAGTTTCTCTTAGCATTCGTGTTAATTTTAACTCTGTTTTGATCTCTCTGCTGACTCCCAAGGGACATATATGCCTTTTCAGGTTACTGAATGCTTCACTATGATCATCCTCTATGTAGTTTTTAACGTTGTGTGTCACCCAGCCTTTCTGGGGCAGGTACAATGGGTTCAGCAGAGCTCTCTTAGTATAAAATAGCTGCTTGCTGAGTTAATGAGTGCAAAGCTGTGGGCTGGAAAAAATCTCAGCAATTATCTGCAATGCATTCATAGTCTTCTGTAAAGGTGAAACACATTACAGAGGTGGTTGATAAGTACCTATAAGTAAAGTGCCTTCAAATTATGCAGGTATTATAGAAGTAGGTATATTTACATCAATGTAAAATAAAGCAGACAAGATACAGTTGTGATTCTCGAATTTCTGATTTTCCAAATGTAGTTTAATGCTAGATTTATATAATATGCAAAAAAGTATTTGTTTGAAGAACAATAAATGTGACATATTTCAGTTTTTTTTTTTTTTTAGATTTCAGAGCATTTCATTTATTTTTTTTTTTTAAAGAGAACCACATAACACTTATTTGTAAAGTGAAAAGTTAATAACATGGTTTTATTTTTATTTTTCTTAAATGGAAAGTTATAATAATGGCAAAACGTCAGTTTGATCTCCTTTACTGTGATACCTGTAAATAACATCTAGTCTAGCCAATTCCCTTCAGAGGTCTAATTATAAGTGGAGTCCACCTGTGAGTGATTATGTCTCAGTATAAATACAGCGGTTCTGTGAAGTTCTCAGATTTTTGCCAGAGAGTGTCAGCAAACAAAGAGCTTCATGAGTTTTAGGGACACAGCAGGAAGGTCAGAGAGAGAACATGACCAAAGATGTGTTCAATTTGCAACATGTGCAACAAGTGGCCTTTTGGACCTTCCAAAGGCCCTAAATAAACAGTAATTAAAACGATAAAGAACATCTAATATTTTTAATTTTAGATACAATAAAAATCTGAATTTCAATGTAATTGTTCTTCCTAAACACCAGATGTCATTTAAACTTTGGTTTTTAGGCTAAATCTGGTTGGTCCGACATAGTCTTGATTTAATCTAGAAATAGTTGGTGAAAATTAGGCTATGTTTGGTCAGTCTGATTTTGTCTCACATAAGTCCAAAAATAGAATTTCAATAGACGTTGAAAACTCAGTCTTCTCAACAATCTGAAAATGACTGATTTTCACTTTTCCACCAAATGTAGACATTGTTTGCAAGTAAATGATGTCGTCTTTTAAATGTCTTTTCAACCAAGTTTTCCTCTGTGGGTTACATTTAATTTTTACAACAGAATGACTCTAAAGTACCAGTCATCTTTTCACATCTGCTTTTCTTGTGATGAGGGGAAAGCATGTGCTTCTTTTGCATTATAAAAAAAAAGAAATATCAACGCCCCATGTGACAACATATTTCTAATAAATGTTAGAATTTAATTTTAGAAATTAATATATATAAAATTGTGTTTTTTTAGAAATACTTTTACCACATCTTTTTTTTTTTCACATATAACACAGTAATAAACCAGTCTATCCAATGAGAAGTCTATATCATGTTAGGACAGGTTAACAGTTAACTGTTTACTGTTTGTTTACCTGATCTTTGAATTGTTCAAATTACTCACAGAATGGTACTACTCCTACTTAAGTAGGAGTAGCGATACTTTACAAGAATATTACTTAAGTAAAAGTACTGCACAGTTCAACTAGTTGTAAAAGTATTTTTTTTTCAAAATAGTTCTAGTTACTACCAATGTCTGGAGGTGATGTATGCCGTAAACAGTCTGCACATCTGTAGTTGGGTTATTGCCACCCTCCTCAAAGTTGCTTAGTGCTGGTGAAAGCGATATGGAGCAGGCCATGACAGAGGTGTCATTCAACTAGTTTTAAGTCGAGGTATAATCCTGGTTTAGGATTGAAAACTTTTTTTTTTGTACAGCTTTCTGTTTGTGTATCACATAAAAGCCCAATAAATTGCACTGATGTTTATGGTTGTCCTAATACCGTATGATTTAGTTAGGCAGTAAAAATAATAAAATTTGATAATCCAACTTTTCACTTTTAAGAAGACATTTTCTTTTATGTTTTAAACTTAACCCTATGCAGTTTATTAATGGCTGTTTGACAATTTAGGGTTTGAGCTCATTTTGCTCTTTGAAAATGCAATTCTTTGCAAAAGCCCCAACTTCTCATCAAGGCATTTTGATCCCTACATTCTTTAATTCTAATAAACATAACAATCTTCTTAAGCGAGTAAACAAAGAGAAATTATCAATTTAGAAACTCAAAATGTAAGGGAAGTACATATATCATTATCTGCAGCTGCCCCAGACAATGATATATGTACTTATTAGCAACACAATGTCTCTTCCAAGAATGAGCATCATTGTCCTGGAAAAATATTGCTTTATTAGACTGTAAGTTACCGCCTGGTTGCCAATTGCTTTTGTTTATTGCTGAGATAAACTTACCGGTGTGTAGCTGTTTAAATGAAGTAATGTGTTTTAACATCCACTTCCTTCCCTGATTACTGCAGCGACTGTGCCCGTAAAGCTACCGCACCTCAGGGACGTGATGATGAAGCTGCCAAGAAGCTGTGGGATCTGAGTGCCTCCATGGTGGGTCTGACACAGTCAGAGTGATGCACACGATGGCTGTCTTCGTCTTCACGGCAACAACAGGATCGCAAGAGCAACCCCAGCAAAAAAACTGGAGCGCTCTCTATCAGTTTGGCTTTTTACAAATAAGTTAGCAAGGAAAACACAGGGATTCACATTTGATAGACATTTATTTAGAATGTACAACAAACTACTTGCAAAAATACTATCCATTGAACTATGTTGTATTTTCTGTATTTAAAAAGAAGCACTGCTGTACGGGTAGGTTACATGGAAGGAGCACGATCATCGAATGACATTTTACCGGTGCCTGCATCGACTGGGAGCTCATACACTATCTGCTTTCCAAAGATATTTACTTCCATAAACATTATTTTAACACTGCTAACGGGAAGAATTATGTTTTGTTTTTCTCTCATGGGTATGAAAGTGCTTTTAAAATGAACGAGGCATGATGTTGCTTAACATTGTGTTCACTCATTCTGTCTTTAGCTTGTTTTATGTCAAATGAGTTCAGCAATTTTTCAGCGAGATTCTGATTAAAAGTTATAAGTAGTAAATTTCCCACCTATAATTGGACTTAGCCTAAATTCATATTGGTTATCTCTCTATGCAAACCCTAAGAGAAACTTTGGCTTATTTATTTATTTATTTATTACAATATCTTAGCAGTTTATGTAAAAAAAAAACTGTTTTGCTAACCATTAAACTGTAGCCACAGCTGTATGTGGTGGATATTTACAGAGATGGCTATGATTACTTTCAGATAAATGAAGGTAGAAGGTGGTGCACCATCAATGTTTTTACTGTGTAAAACACATGCTGGAAACATAAGAACTAATGGGGTCTGATTAGAGTAAATGTCTGGTAGAAAAGTAAAGCGATGTTATAATAATCATAAAATAATCATACAACCATTTTTAAGGGATTTTTTCCTTGAACAGGGGCAGGAACAATGCCACATTAAGTCTGTGGTATGTGTTAGGGATCTCATTGTACTGTCAAAAGGCTTTTCTCTTAGACATTTCTGTAAAACCGATCAGATTCTGCCATGTTCTTAATCATTTTCATCCTGCCCTTGTTTCAACATATTCATTATCAGTTCGTATGAAATCGTACGAAAAGTTATGCACACTATTTCGTACGTTTTGGACGTTTTTCCTCAAAAAACCAGATCGGTGCGCATGCGCTGGTAGACAGAAAAAAAAAGCAGATCCGCAGACGGACATAAAACTGGGAAAAACAGTGCAATTATCACTTCTTCATGTCTCTGACTACGTTGTTTGCTGTTTTATATCTTAGGGTTAGGGTCAGGGTTAGGGCTAATTGTAATTTATATTCCATGTTCTTGAATGGGGTGTAAGATGCGCATGCGACGAAAAAAACGTCCAAAAAGTACGAAATTATGGTGAATAACTTTTCGTACGATTTCATACGAACTCATAATGAGAATACACTGCTTGTTTTCTATCACAACTACTCCAACCAGAAAGTATTCCTAAAGACATAACTGATGGTGCACCACATCCAAACTCGATTTTTCCTTTTTTTTTGGTAAATGAAGATGAGCTTCTTTGTAAATAACTGCTAAATGCTGACTTTATGGCAGTTTATAGTTGGCAAGAATATTATTTGTATAAACATTTATTATGTTTGGACAATTGGAGTTTTATAAAGACACCTGCTTACAGCAGAGCTTCTCCCAGCATTACCTTTTATTCATCTCTATTGGGGATATGAGCCCCAGCCTGTTGATCTTTGCCACGTCTTTCTCTTTCTCTCAACCCCATTTCTTGTCAGGCTACATTTAAAGAAAGGTAACTAGTGCTAAAGAAAATCTAAACAGAAAAATCTCTATTCGCACTAATCAAAGACATCTCGACAATTATCAGGTGCTAGTCAGATAATAACTACTTCTACCCTTTCAGCAGAATCTCGCTTCCAAAATTGTGAAATATCCTTTTAAAGTTTGTAAACATAAATTAAACTGCCTTCATATAATAAATATATATGTTCATTTCTCTTTCGTTTCTTTCTCTTGAAGGCACTTTGTACAAAATTGCTACAAACAGTCAGGTTTCAACCCTCGCAAAGCTACATCTCAGAGAACTGCATCACTCCTTTGTCTTGTCCACCAAAATTCCGTTAAAGACACTCATTTTTTATGCACAAAGTGCACCCAAGTGGCCTGCTGGCTACAAATTAACCCTGGTATGTTGCCTACATATTACACAATCATGTAAAAGAGGTTCTGAGAACAAAGGTACCACATCTTGGCCTTTACATTAAAAAATAATACATATACAGGAGATGTTGTAAAGTCCAAAGATGATCCTTAAGCTGAGTGTAACACAGGGAAAAATATCTATATTGCTTGTTCGATATATATTTATGTTGATTTATTTGTAATAAATTATACATTTTTCAACATCTAGATAACCGTGTGTGGAAACAGCTGAGGCTATGGATGTACTTCCTGGTATTATAGGGTGCTTTCATATTTACTACCCCGGTATTTGCTGCATTAACGCCATAACTAACTAATGAGGAGGCTCCTCAAAATCATAAAGCTGCCTCATCTGCTCCACTTGCATAGAGTGCCTTCTCACAAGTTTCTTCTTTGTCTTTAGACCTCCTGTCTTTGGTGTGTTTGGTGCTACTGGGGCTATGGATTTTATACCTGTTGAAAGAGGTGAAGAGGGCTTGTTACTGGCCCCTATATCAGGAATGGGTGGGTTTGGGTTGACGTTTAGGGGGGGCAGGTGGCCAGGCCTAGTGTGCGAGATGTAGTCCAACAGTAGCGTGCCGGAGCCCCTCCTTTCCAGGAGTCCAGGTGCGCGCCTTCGTGCCGTGCTTGGAGATGATGTGCTTGCATTGCTGTCAAGCGATTCTCTGGAACTGGTGAGCATTGCAAGTGGAGAAGTGTTTAGTTTCCTTCGCTCCACTGGGACTTTAGGAGAGTCTAACATGGCAGAGTCTGAGTAGAGCTGCGAGTCTGAGTCATAGTGATCGTTTCCTAGACGTCTTCTGTGCAACGTCTCTCTGAGGCTGACTTGTCCGCTGCCGCAGCTGCTGCCGCTCTCCTGCTCTGTGGGCACAGTACTGCGCCGAGCCAGAGGCTGGTGCTGTCCCAGAGATCTCTCGTATGAAGGCTTAGAAGTTGGAGGGACTGATAAGGAGGTTGTCATTTTGCACGGCTGGTCACCCACCAGCGGGAATAAGCTGTCCTTCCCATCCACGCTGCTCTGCCGGGACAGAGCAGCTCTCCTATTCAGAGAGAGGCCGTTCACCCCAGCAACTACATCCTCATCAGAGCTGGCTTTCTTGCTCTCCTCATAGGCAGCAGCTGCAGCCAGGACAGAGGGAGCAATCAGGCCCCAGGGCTCTGATTGCAGCCGCTTCAGCTGAGGCAAACGCGCCCGTTTCGGGTTTACTGGCCGGCGAGTTGGAGATGTGGGCCCATTTGTAAGCTTTGTTGCAGAGACGGACGTTTTTAGCTTCGTCTGGAAATTAAATACAGTGTTTTGTTCCTCTTGCTCAGATGTAGGAGACGCAGTGATACTGATGTCAGAGGGAGTGGTGCAGTACTCGAGAGACGACCTCTCAACCAGCTCTGGAGATGGGGGCACATTTAGATACTGTTTGGTGGTTTTAGTGCCAGATGGTGACTTGTCTGTCGTTATTATAATGACCTCTTTTCCTTTAGCTTTGCATGCATCCAAAAGTAATTTTAATGTCTCCTTATCATCTGCATTGATGGCATAGACCAGAGCCGAGGCCCCACTCCTGTCCTCCAGACTTGGATCAGCACCGTTGCTCAGCAGGTGATCCACCACCTCGTGCCCAGCTTTATGGATGCAGGCATGCATTAGAGCCGTCCTGCCCGCCTTGTCCTGTATGTTTGGGTCCGCTTGGTTGTCCAATAGATATTTGACAAGCTTCGACTTGCTCACGCTTTGCTGGTCAGAGTGTCTCGACATACAGGCCACCATGAGTGGCGTCTCTCCCCGTTCATTGCTCTCATTGATATATGCGCCTCCTTCCAACAGAAGCCTGGTGAGTCTTAATCGTCTGAGCCACACTGCCTTCAGGAGAGAGTTCCCATCTGTGCGCAGCTCCAGAATGTCTGCCATTTCTCCAACCTGTTGCAGGTCCTCTTGATCCTACAGCTTACAGATCTTTAAAGAAAATATGAAATTAATAAAGCATATTTTGCCACTCAGACAGGCATATACATGACTATATAAGTTTGTTCAAAATGTAAGGACAGTATGAAAAAATCTTTGAAAAAAATATGTTGCCCTTTAATTCAAGTTAAACTGAAAGCTGTGATTAAAATATCTGATTTATGAAAGAGCAGTAGCATACATTTTGTACACCAATTCATGTAATCAACTCTGTTTCTTATTGAACCTATTTAAGTTGCTAAATAAGCAACAAAATGCTTGTAGACAGAGATTAGATATTTTTTTTTGTCATGCTGAACGTCTCCCCCAAGCTTATGCCGCCCTGGATAGTTTGCAATATTAAGCTTATTAAAATCTTTTATTTTAAAACAGCATAGAAAGGCAGATCTGTTTCTGAAATACTTGGTCCAAGCAAACAGTGTCTCTGCACTGAGTGAGTTTGCCTATAGGAAAATGATGACTTCTACATGAATTCAGGAAAAAAAAAAAATGTTTGTATTTTCCAGTAGATTTATTTAAAAAACAGCCAAAGCAAATAGATTTGCAATCTTTAAGATTTGACATGTTTGCATTATACAGATTGGGGAGAAAATCACCATCTGCTAAATGTTGGAGGTAATTTTGCTTTGGGAGAAAAGGAAAAGGATAAAAGCTAACATTTTGTGGTGGAGTTTATATACAGTAAAATCGGTTAAGGGTGCCATACAGGATAGGATTCATCCTGGTTTAAATAAGCCCTGCCTTTTATTTTGGCATTTAACTTTTTCCAAATTAACTGTATTTAAAATCAGATTGTTGCTTTTTATGTAAATGCAGAATAATAAATGACAGGGCTCATAAATATTACAAGAGTGTTGATTCATTACTAGCAGAGATAAAAGAAGGATCTTAAATTTTACCTCTGAAAAAGGGCCTTTTATTCATAATCCATATGAAGAGCACATGTGTTATGATTTTGAATTTTACAACTTGAATGAAGCTGTTATTTAAAATCAGTTAATAGATTTAAAATTTTAGCAATGTGTCATTAGTTCAGAAACCCACCCTCTGATTACAATAACTCAAAAGTAAAATATTTGTTTATAACTTTAAGCACTTAGACTATGGTTTAGAAAAGAACAACTGTGACCAAATATGAAATACAAATACAGCTGTTCACATCTGCCTGATCAGCATGTTTACCTCCGCTTGTATTCTGTGCTTTGAGCAGAACAAAGCAAATGCACCAGAAAATGCAGATTTAACTACTTCGTTTGTTTATATGGTGCTTTCCTTTTCAACAACCAGCAGGTGGCAGTCTAATACAACATAAAGACCAAAACAAATAAGTTCATAATAGAAAATATCTTTCAGTAAATATATTATGCAGGCTAACTAATAAGTCAAATGAAAATCATTTGATTGAACATATAGTTTCTCTGTGCGCTAAGGTGGAAAACATGGAGACACAAGCAGTTAAAGTTTCAAACACAACTGATGTGTAGCCAGGTGATGTAATTTAGAGTAAAACGTTTCAAAACTGATCTTTTATGAAGACATTAAATATCTATATCTATATTTGCTAAAAATCACAAGCAGATGATTCATCTTTAAATAAAATATTTGAATGTCTTAACATTTTTATCAGAGGCTACAATTTAAGCAGTTATTTCTGTGTTTAAATTCAAATCATAAACATCTGGTGGCTTTAAATGGGGGTTCAGTCAGAGCGGAAACAGCTGATTGGATAATTCTCTTAATTCCTGAATTATATGTAAATTATTGCTCAGATATTAATCTGGGTCCAACAGAAACACGTTTCTCATTGAGTGTGAACATTAAGAAGTTAACCTAATGCCACCCAGCCAATACACAAGACAAGAACATAAAGTTTTCCAACCTCCATCTGCCATATTTTCTGCAAAGGAACAATTTAAAGGATGAACTTAAGGCTTACCTGCTCAGAGAAGAGTCTCTCCATGCTCAGAGAGCGCGGTGCCATCAAACAGGGATGGTACATGCGGAGGGAGAAATTATCCAAAACACAAACTTTAGCTCTTATTCTGCAGCTCCCAATCAAATGCGTCCTGGTTTAGGTTACTGTGCGCCTTCCCTATCTGTCACCATGAGCAAATGATGACGAGCTTGTGTGGCTTTTTGTTGCGGAGGCGCGCTACATCAGTCCAATGGGGAGTATTCCTTTCACTGCGCACTCAAGGATCACAACCTGGAGATGCGGAGGGTTATAAATAACTTAGTTTCTTGCTTGTTGAATGAAACGTGTTGTCTCTTGACGTCAGAGTCGCCCGAAATAAACTGCGTCTGATGAAAAACCTCTGTCCTGATCTTTACATCTGCAGGACGCAAACAGAGCGAGCGCCTCCTCCTATGGAGACTGCAAGGCTTGTTCTACACCCTCTTCTTTCCATTTTATCAGGATTATTATTGTGGAAATGAATATTAACAGAGAAGCATTTAAGAAAACAAGTGGTGGCTTCTAGATATCAAAATAATCAGTTCATGCCCCAGTTAATAGGGATTTATTTGTGCATAACCCTTTAAAGCCTGAACCATGAAGTAACTGACAGAAGATTCTAATTTTCCAAAATTAAAATTGTCATTGAACTTTCTGACAAATGAAATAGCAGTATAAATTTTGTATCCGTTAAATTGCATCATTTATTTGCATCAGTTTTGATACATTACACATTTCTATATCATCTTTTATATGTTTTTTGTTCACTACATGTGTGTGATTATGTAAGTTGGGGTTTTAAGAACAAAATCATCACACTGATGATGCTGAGGTACAAAAACTCAGGTATATGTTAAGTAAGCATAATATATTAAACTTAAGTGTTTAAATAAAGTTAAATAAAATGCTGCTGTCATTTTGCACATTTCTGATGTTGCTGCTATTTTCACATATCCATTACTGTAAAAATGTCCACAGCTGTATATTGGTTATTTATTCTCCAGGGCACAGTATTTATATTGTAAAAACACTTTACAGCACAGAATTATTTTATTTATTTTACTTCTGACTATTCTGTTTTATACACTTTTTTGAGGCCACATTAGTGTGACCACTTTGGCAATAATCTTTTACACCACAATTTCCCCATTGTGGGACAATAAATGGATTTTCTAATTTATTCTAAATTGTAAAAAGCCAAGTTTGTGAATGACCTCAGTAATTACTATTTAAGTTTATTTGAATTAAAAGTTCAACTCCAACTCTAACTCCATCCATTGTTGTCTAGTTCAGAAGGTTTTCATGTCTCTGGTGTAAATGCGTTTTTTTATTTGGATTCATTTTAGCTTTATTGGAGAAAAACAGCATTATGGAGACCAAGAAACACAACAGACAAGTCAGGAATCAAGTTCTGAAGGAGTTCTGAAGGAGTAATAAGGTTTTTAAATAAGGTTATTTAAAAAAAAAAATAAAAAAATACCCCAAATGTATATAGCAGCTAATTTTCATCTATCTGGAACAAAAAAAAAAAAAAA